ACGTAGCAGTCCAGCCTTTTGGAACCCATTGGTGATGGTGGACTCGTTCACTCTGCTCCACGCTGTTAGGATCCACTGGCAGACATCAGGAAAAAGCTGGGAAAGCCCTCCCGCTCCAGCATACGTCACTGCATGGGATTGCTTCCCCGGGGAGTGCAATGCCGAAAAAAAAAGTCAGCAGCTCTTCACTCGACGTTTATCCACAAACTGGTCCTGGATTAAGCTCCAAAGTTTTTATCAGTCAGATTCCACTGTGAAAAATGTTTTATCCCCTTTTATGAGTTTTTGGCCATTGACTATCTTTAAATCGCAGCTTCCTGGTACAACAGTCGGCTCTGGAAGCGATAGCTTTTTTCTTTTTTCTTTTTCTTCTTTTTTTGAAGCGAGTGCTTGAAGCAAATGGAGCATAAGAGCCCCCTGGTGGCTGAAGAAAAAAATCCATGTATAAGCCGCACCGGACTATAAGCCGCATGGTTCAAAGTTCAGGAAAAAAGTCGCGGCTAATAGTCTGAAAAATACGGTACTCAAACTGGAGTATTTGTACTTGGTCTGAAAAAGATTCKGGATTTTTTTTAAGATAAACATAAACACAATTAATGTGACAAAACAAAGTTGTTCTTCTATGGCCTGAAATTAAAAGTACTTATTGCAAATTCATGAAGACCAGACAAAAMAAATCACAAWAAACAMAATCCACACAACTTTTTTCTCATATAGTAAATGTKYCYTWAAAAAAAAATTCAGATTTTGTTTACTTACAGCTGAAATGACTGAAACAACAACAAACCTTTCTGGTCTAGAAGAAATTTCCAAAAACTTTGTGTCAGAGTGCTCAGTTCTGTCCTTAAGGCACTTCACCACCCTGCTTGATCCAAAATGTTTATCCCTCTCAGTGATTTTTTTCTATTTTTTTTTTTCTTTTAACAGCAGAGTCCCTCTTATGTTTCCAGTTAGATTCTGTGCTTGTCTGATTCTGCCATATTTATCTACACAGATGAAGGCTCAAGCTTGTGGTTTTCAGCAGATTTAGCTGAGTGCTTTGTTTACATTTAACGTGGACCTGCATTTCAGAACTGCATATCAGTATGAATGATCYGGAGAACTACTGGAGTGAACTCTTTCAAGCTCAGATTTATGTGTTCTGACAGGTTTGGTAAAAACACGTGTTTTTCTTCAACTACTAAATCATCCATTTCTTGTAAAGTCGRGTTGTTTAGGTTGCATGGTGGCTTTAAACAAATACATGAACAGTTTGGTTAAATCTCCATTTCTCTTTTCCACTTCTCCAGTTGTGGTTGAGGCTCTGCATGACGTCTCCTACAAGAACGCCCTGTGTAACTCCCTGTACTGTCCAGACCACATGGTTGGCAAAATCAACTCTGAGCATGTGAGGTTTTTTTTTTACTTTTCTCCTTTGTGATCATCCGTCCCCATGATTATAAATATCAAAAAAAAAATTTTTTTTTTGCTTTTTCTTTTCAGCTGCATCAGTTTGTCCAGAACAATTTCACGAGTGCAAGAATGGCTCTTGTTGGACTTGGTAAGAAGAGTGATAAGAACCAGTAAATTACAACAGTACTAGAAACWGGAACCAAAGCAGCACGTTTGGCTTTATCCTTGATGATGATGATGATGATCAACAGGTGTTGACCACGATGTGCTGAAGCAGGTGGGGGAGCAGTTCCTCAACATCCGGGGCGGAGCAGGAACCGCAGGAGCTGCAGCTCAGTATTATTCAAGTAAGCTGAACCGACGACAAGTTCTGACGGTTGGATGTAGTTTTGGCTCCTGAAGAAAGCAAACGACCTGCTGCTGCTTCCACCTCATGTCCTCTGCAGGGGAGAGCCGTCTGCAGACCAGCAGCAGCCTGGTTCATTCAGCCATGGTCAGCCAGTCGGCAGCAGCAGACAGTGGTGAAGCCTTGGCTTTCAGCGTGCTGCAGCATTTACTGGGAGCCGGGCCACACGTGAAGCGGGGATCTTGCGTCTCCAGCAAATTGTTCCAGGGCGTTGCCAAGGCAACTGCGGACCCCTTCGACGTGAGTCCTCTACGAGATGCAGCCACACATCAGCCGTCAAAGCTCTTTATGTGGAACCGTCAACACATTATGTTTTTTTAACAGGTCAGTGCGTTCAATGCAAGTTACTCTGACTCTGGTCTGTTTGGAATTTACACAATTTCCCAAGCTGCTGCAGCTGGTGATGTGAGTATCGCTGCTCACATGTTGAAACACGGTCTTTCTTAACTGCAGATTAATATTAGACAGTATGTCTCAGTTTTAACGCCCTCCGCTTCTGCTTCCTTCAGGTGATTAAAGCGGCTCTCGCCCAGGTGAAGGCTGTGGCTGACGGAGGAATCACGGCTGCTGACCTCACTCAGGCAAAGTAAGAAACGCTGATTTAAAAAAAAATACACAGAAATTAAATGTAACATGTAGAAATCAACTCAACACTTGATGGAGATACCATCATAGACAGATGGATTCAGTTTTTCAGTCTCTGCTAATAGAAAACACACAAAACAGCAAATCTTGACCCAGAGGAAGTCTCATACCTGACAGATTGATTTCTACRTGGACTTAAAACATAGTGAAAAGCTGTTAAATAATCTGAAGGACAGTAAATACATCATTTTCTCAAAGGAGAGCAATTAAGGGTCCTAGAAATTTTTATGGTACGTCTGTGGGCTATCCAGACCATGTTCATTCAATTTAATGCACAAAATAATTCTCAGATAATAAAATTTCCCATTTTCTAGTTCTGCCTGCTCTGACTTCTGTTCGGAAGAGCTGTTTATGTTAATGAGCTCTGTTGGTAACGCCCTCCAAAAATCTGTTGACATTAACTCCGCCCTCCAAAGCCAGCGTTTACGTTAGCATGGCTAATAATAGCAGAAGCTCCGTTCTACAACCATACGAGACCCAGAGGCAGAGTCGGTCGCAGCTTCTTTTTTTTTTTCTCCCCTCCTCTGCTCTGCGCTCACTCTGCATGCTGTTACCAGAGCAGGGAGCAGCAGCAGTCAAAATACCTCAGAAACTCAAACAAATAGGCTTTAACAAGGCTTTAATAAGCCAAACAATAGAGGTACATGAGAAAAYGTGTTCATAATGAATGAAAATAAATAATTAGTGTCCATGCCGGTCTCAAACCGTGGTCTCCCACTCTGTGGTCCAACACTCTACCCATTGTCCTATTAGAGGCTTGTTGTGAAATGAGCTGCACATTACACAACAACAACCGTGACGGCGTTTTATACTGAGGAGGTGGAGCCTCACCCGGGGGTTGATAGGTGAGGGGCTGAACTCAGGTTCCGGTGGGTTGTCGTACAGCTTGTGACATCACAAAATGACGGAAGTATAAAACTTGTCGTTATTATACATTAAAAATACATTTACTTACAGTAAATATTCCCCTGGGTGCATTTTTTTTGGTCCTAGGACTGTTTTTTTAAGAAGTACATACYCAAAGTTGAGTAAAAAAAACTTTAAAAAGTGAATTTTGCATAATAGGTCCCCTTTAAGGAGACTCAATGTCACGTTTATATCATTAAATTAAAACTAAAACAAAAAAGACTAATCCTGCTATGAAAGGCAAATTGTTGCTTTTAATATAAAAAACATTTATGCAGATTATGTAAGATTTAATTTGCAGTCGGGCTGGGCTCTCACTCACTGCATTGAGCTCATTATATAGTCGAATATTCAGGGGTTTGGGGGACAGGGCAGTGTTTTTATATTTTGAAACACTACTTGAGCGCAGCATCATTATGCACCAAGCATTCAGTCTGGTGTTGCATCAATAAACATTAGAAAGATGTGTTTGAATACACGTCTGTGAGGGGATGGACAACATGTTTTCACTGGTAACATAATCTGTCTCCATAACACTGACATTTACCCATATTTTTACATTTTTCTATTGCATCTCTTTACATAACCATGCACTGCAACACTGCCTCTAAAATACTCTTCAGCACACTAAATATGATTTCATATTAAACAAGGAATTACCCTTAAAACAGTTGTACATTCCTGCAATGTAAAACATAATGTGTATATACTGCTGGTGCGAGGCACATGTTCAATAGAGACTTGTTGATTCTCCTACCGTTTAAAGTCGATTATAATGGTTTAAATTAGGCCTGTTTCACATGTGAACTGCAACATCAACAAGATGTTTAATATTTAGATGTAAACCTTTTTTTTTAAATAAAAGATTAGTACACATTTTCTCTTCATCTCTCTGCCCCACAGCTCAGACAGAGGAGTCGTGTTTCAATAACAAAAGACATTTTTCAGCAAGTGTAAAAGAAATTGCAATATGAGGATCAAACGTTAGCATTAGCCTGCTGTCTTGGCGCAGGCCACAATGCATTATGGTCTATTTCCAACAATGTACCATGCATTTTTTGTACACTATTACTGAACCACATAACTAGTTTCTTGGACAGATTGTCTGTAMATTACACAGATTTTCCCAGGGATACGGACGGTTAAGGCAACCTCTCATAATTTACACAAAAATCTCTGTAGTTTTCACCAAAAAAAATCCTTGTCTGTTTTCACTGGTCAGGACCCAGTTGAAGTGTCATTACCTGATGTATCTGGAAACCTCCGAGGGTTTGCTGGAGGCCATGGGCTCCCAGGCTCTGGCTCAAGGATCCTACCACTCTGCAGAAGAAATCTCCAAGAAGATCGACAACGTCTCCTTGACAGATGTTGCTAATGTAAGACCACCAGTTTTATTATTATTCATGTTGAACTGAAATAAACATCAGGAAGTTAAGTTTGTGTTAACATGTAGCTCTCTTTTTATT